GAGATTTAATATCAGAGTTAAGAGATATAAACTCAGGTTTGCGAGATATAAACTTCAGAACTGAGAAACTCATGTGAGAAAAAAGTCTGTACTGTACATACTGTATACTGTAAAGTCTATACTGTATACTTTATATTACTGAACTGTAATATAAACTCAGAGTTCTGACTTTTTTCTCACAATTCTGAGTTTATATCTCAGAATAAGTCTACATTTGTGAGTTATAAACTCCGAATTGTGAGACATAAAATCAGAATTCTGAGAAATAAGACAGAAAGTTGCAGTTATTTTTACTTTTTATTTCCTAGCAGAAATAGGCTAACCGAGACTTGTCATTTGCACTTATATATTGTTGCTCTTTTGTTAGTTTTGACTGCTTTTATTGTCCTCATTTGTAAGTCGCTTTGGATAAAAGCGTCTGCTAAATGACTAAATAAAAAAATAAAAATAATGCTTGATCTGATGGACTGATGTTTTCTTCTCTTTATTTTAGTCCAAATGACTAAGCGAATTCATTGATGCAAACAGAAACATCTATAAATCATATGATAAAGCTGCACACATCTCATTTGTGTCCAAACTCAGAGGTCAAATGAGCAGCATCTCATAAAACAAGTTACGATAAGACTAACGTCACAGAGAGACAGGAGGAGTTTTACTCACTGGTGTCTGTGTCCGTGGTTCCTCTCATGGGGGGTTCAGGGACCCCAGAAGTGTGTGTGACATGAAACGCGGCCCTCAAACATCAACCGTGAGTGCTGACCTCAAACATTTTACAGCTGTACATTCAAATAACACTTCTTCAGTGAAGCTGTTTGGTCTGTGCAGTCGCTTCAATGTGAGTGTGTGTGTGTGTGTGTGTGTGTGTGTGTAAGGTGTCTCTGCAGCTGTAATTGTACTCCAGAGCTCTATGGTGACAGGAGGTGACAGAGAGATCAGTTACCACAGTAAAACCATGTCATTATGATATGACTCAGTAAACACACACTCTTTTTACCTGCTACACACTTTCTGTCTCACTCACACTTTTCATCCTCAGACAGGATTTCTAAACACTAAAGAAACCGAGTTTAACCCTGTTACTGGCCTTATGATGTTTCGAGAGATCACAGATTAATATGTGCAGTATATATTTTATTTTTTTTTGGAGCTGACATCTTTTCATTTCACCACATTCATCACCTGTAGCATTTTCTTTGTAATTGTAAATTAACTGAAGTTATGTAACAGTTGTCACAATTTAATTAGCTTAAAAATAAGCATAAACTATGAAACTGAAACATGAAAATATGAAAAGGTTAAAACCAAGAAGAGCATAGAGCAACTATTACATAAGACATTTGAGACTTGGTTTGGACAGTTGACAGTTTACCAAATCTGACAAAAATTATTATATGAATTTAAAAACTAAGCAAAAAGAAGCATATTGCCAATCAGAAACATTGACGTGTTTGGCAATAAAACAGCAACTTCTGTTAGACTTATGCAAAACGGGGTTATTGTTATTAACTAAATAAAATTAACTCAAATAAAAAATAATTATTTGAAATAAGCAATAACTGAAATAAAATAAAATATAAAAAAGCTAATTTCAGCTAATTGCCAAGGCCACATATTTCTTTTTCTTTTTTGTTTAAAGTAGCCTACTAAAATAACAAGCCTATAAAAAAACTACAACTTAATAAAAACAAATAATAAATAAAATGAACAAACAAATCAAATAAAGTGAAAACAAAAAGTTACTAAAACTTCAGCCAAAAGTCAAATGAAAAATTTAAAAATTAATTATAATTTAAAATATAAAAAAAACCCCGCTATAACAGTAAAAAAAAAAAAAAAAAAGTATAATAGGGTAAAACTTAAATAAAAATAAATAAAACAAAAACACAACAAAGTTACAATTTCAACTAAAATTAAAATGTAAATATAAAAATATAAAAATTAATTAGAATTAAAAATAATAACAAAACCAATATAACAGTATTAATACTAACATAAAACAATATTTTTAAGGCAATATTTTTGATTGATTGATTGATGTGCGTTCAAGCACAGCGAGTGAATATTGTGGTTTGATGTAGTGGTGTATTTTCACCACTAGAGGCAGTGCAGATTAGCGCGCAGATCATAGATGTCTAATACCGTTTAACCGATCAAAACAAACAAAGAAACAAAGGCGTAGTTAGATGACGCCGTGACTGAGTGTGGAATCATGGGAGTTGTCGACTTCATCCCCACAGCCGATGCAATCCGACGGGCAGAAATCATGTTCATGGATGAGCTAATGATTTATTAAGGTAGTAGTATGAAGCAGAGTGAGGCTGAAAGCCGTCGAAGCAAAACGAGGCCGCTGAACGAGCGTGACACACGGTTCGAAAGCAGCGGAGCTTTTATTATGCCACAGTCGACCGCTTCCGCTCCTTCCGGTCGTGCATATGTGGGGTAAAGCAGCGCTGTTTTATCCTACTAGGTACGTTTGAACGTTCTGTTATAATGCTACTCTGTGCGGTCGTCACCGGTTTATTAAAATGCATAGCATATTAAAGCGTCTTTGGTGTTTCCATGTTTTCTACAAAACAAAACCGGAAATCGAGGGATTATGACGTCATTGGCAGGCGACACAATGACACTATAGACACGCTCCGTGTCACTAGTTAAAATTTTAATTAATTTAAATTAATTTAAAATTTAAACATTCTTCGAAACATTTGGGATAATCTAAGTACACAAGTCAGCAAAATATATAACACTGTTCTAGTGGTTTTTGGATATTTTAATAAAAAAATCGATATTGTGCCTTTAAAGAAGTAGCCTAATCATCGTTTCAGCGATTTTTAAAACAATTTTGCCTTAACGTTTACCAATCACATTTACTAGTAATTTCATCAAGTATTAAACTGAAATATTCATGAGACATAATCAATCTGCTGACACATGATCAGATATATGAAGCCACTGGATGAGTCACTATATCTAACCCAGCGGATTTCATTTATCATGACGCTGAAATGCTAATCCATTAATTCACTGCTCAGCATTCATGTTTCGCCCGGCCGCGTTTCAGACATCGAGGCTTTATTAGTGAATTAATGCACTCCGGGATAAAATCATCTGCAGATGTAATTAATCACAGACTGACTCACTTACAGCCTGACAGAAACAGAAAGCAGCACTAGCTCCTCTCCTCTCAGCGGTGCTGTTTGCTAAATCAGCCAGCAATGTTCGGCTTTTAGAACAGCGGTTTTCGATTTACGAGTAAAAATAATGACCTACACGCATAAATCATTTTAAACACTGCACTATTACATGAAAATAAGACCCACTTTAGGGTCTCTTGCTAAAGTTTTGGCCTCAAAATTACACACCGACATCATTATCCTGAGTGTATAGGATATATTACACACACACACACACACACACACACACATTATATATATATATATACACACACACACTCAAGATAATTAAGTCTAATTTTTATGCCAAAACGTTAGCAAGAGACCCTAAAGTGGGTCTTATTTTCATGTAATAGTGCAGTGTTTAAAATTATTTATATATGCGTTGAATTCTATATATAAATATATATATATATAGTAAAACCAAAAATTATTCAGACACCAGATATCATTTTTAAAATATTTTTTAACTAGTGGGTGCAGGACACTACAGTTCATTTATGTAAGCGAGGATAGCAAAATAAAGTAAACTGTGACATATTATACCCAAAAATTCTTCATACAGTGGACTACCAGTAAAATTTATAAAAATTTGGGACCAAAAATTTATCAGACACTTTGACCTGATCATGTTTTGCTTAAGTGTTTTTTTCTTTAATTGCTAATGCGACCTTTTTACATCACAGACTGAACTAAATTAAGCATTGCTTAGTAATTAGTTGACCTAAATTGGTATGATCTAATTGTGTACATAAATTTAACAGCTGACAGCTATTCAACCGAATTCTTTACATACCTTTCTATCAAAGTTATCTGATATTATCAAGCTGAATTTGTTCTGACACAGTTTAACTCAGAGTTCTTGTTGTCTCACACGGCTCCGGGGCGTGAACAAAGGCCTACTGTAGCGAATCGATGCATTTTTGTAAGAACAATACCCATATTCAAAACGTAATAATCACTTTAATCTAGCTTGCGCCAAGAGTTGTACATGGAAGCAGCTCCGGGAGGATGACGTAAGAGGTCGGTGTTGCGCATGCGTCGGTGAGTCTCGTGAAAACCAACGTTTGTTAACAGGAGCAAAGGAAGCAAAGTTTTCTTACTTTAGCAAAGGAAAACCAGTCTCCTCTTGGCTTATATCGAAATCCTCTGACATTCTTCTTTACAAATCCTTGTTTTGTACTTCTAATTAGTGACCGTTGTTTTGTTTTGATCTCTCTCCTGCACTTCGGCGTTCGTCACTTCTGAGCGGCGCATGCGCAAAGCTGACCTCATACGTCATCCACCCGGAGCTGCTTCCAGTGTACAACAGTGAGCGCAAGCTAGATTCAATTGATTATTACGTTTTAAATATGGTTATTTTTCTTACAAAAATGCATCGATTCGCTACAGTAGGCCTTTGTTCACGCCCCGGAGCCGTGTGAGACACTTTTCACAGAAAAATCTGTAATATTGTGAAATATTATTACAATTTAAAATAACTGTTTTGTATCTGAATATATTTAAAAATTTAATTTATTCTTGTGATCAACGCTGAATTTTCAGCAACACTATTTCAGTGTCACGTGATCCTTAAGAAATCATGCTAATATGCTGATTTGCAGCTCAAGAAACATTTTTGTGGAAGCCATAACACATTTTGGATTCTTTGATGAATAGAAAGTTCAAAAGACCGGAAATATAAATCTTTTGTAGCATTATAAATGTCTTTACTGTCACTTATGATCAATTTAATGCATCCTTGCTGAATAAAATTATTAATTTCCTAAAAACTTTTGAACAGTACTGTATATTGGATACTTAATTTTTTAGTTATCTATCATCCTCAACTATATAAAACAAACTGTATTTGTCTGAGAATATGCTGTATTATTGTTACGTGTCATGACAATGACAAGCGCCTGTGGTTTTCCCTGGATTCGTGAATAATCCTTCATCCAATCGTGTGCAGGAGGAGCGTGTCACCTCTGTTTGACGGTCCAATCAGGTAAAGGATCAGACATTTGCCTCCAGAAGTTCCAGGAAGAGTTTGTGCATGGGGACGCGTCCGTCCTGCTTGATGCTGCAGAAGTGCCGCACGGCTTTGGCGGAGGTCTGGCGGAGGAGTGGAAGGGTCATGATGAGTTTCCCCGTCCGTCGAGGGTCTTCCCTGTGATGGACACACTCATAATCCAGAAGAGCTTCATGGAGAGAGTCCTGCAGACCCTGAACTGCCTTCACGTCCTCTATATGCATCGAGTCTGAGAGAGGGAATCAAAACATCAGGTCTTTCAGGTCTCAGAATTCTGGACGCTTTTGCTGCATTTCATTCCAAAATACTGACTGTAAATAATGCATGTGTTAAAGTTGCTATTAGCCATTCATTTAAAAGAATAGTTCACCCAATAATGAAAATTTGCTCAACCTCAGGTAATCCAAGATGTAGATGAGTTTGTTTCTTCATGGGAACAGATTTGTAGAAATGTAGCATTTCTTCACTTACTCACCAATGGATCCTCTGCAGTGAATGGGTGCCGTCAAAATGAGAGTCCAAACAGCTGATAAAAACATCACAATAATCCACAATTAAATCCACACCACTCCAGTCCACCAGTTAACATCTTGTCAAACTTCTGGCCAAATATTCCAGTCCATAATCCGTAATAAAGCTTCATCCAGTGAAAATGCCCATCCCCTGATGTATTTTCATATCAAAACCTACTAACATATTTGTTTAGGACTGTTTTAGTTTGTTCTTGATCTGTGCATATTTCTCTCCTGATTCAGACAAGATGACTTTTTTCACTGGAGGAAGCAATATTATGGATAGAAATCTCCTATTTTCACCTTAATTATGGATTTGCTTTTTAGGAACATGCAGCTTTTCACTTTAAGTGAAGTGAAGTGAGTGACGTGTGGCCAAGTATGGTGACCCATACTTGAAATTCGTGCTCTGCATTTAACCCATCCTAACACACACACAGAAGTGAACACACACACCGGAGCAGTGGGCAGCCATAAGACATAATTGTCTTATAAGTGCACTTATAAGACGTAATTGATGGACTGGAGTGGTGTGGATTGCTTATGGATTATTGTGATGTTTTTATCAGATGTTTGGACTCTCATTCTGACGGCACCCATTCACTGCAGAGGATCCATTGGTGAACAAATGATGGAATGCTACATTTCTCCAAATCTGTTCCATTGAAGAAACAAACTCATCTACATCTTAGCAGGGGCGTGTCCAGGATTTTATACTTGGGGTGGCAAAGAGGGGGGCAAGAGCAGAATGAGGGGTGGCAACTATAGATCAGTGTTTGTACTCCCCATACTGTATATTCTGTATATTCAACACCAGTGTTGGGGAGTAACTAATTACATGTAACTGAATTACTTAATTTACTTACAAAATAAATGTAAATGCAATCTGTTACAGTTACTGAGAAAAAAAAAGTGTAATTAAATTAGCCTACAGTTACTTATGAAAATGTTAACAATTACAAAGGGGACAGATTTGATTAATTTATTTCTTAATTGCAGTGACTGCTCTAAAATACGAAGCACCAATGTTTCAGGAGTTTAGAACACAGAATAAGATGCATTTTTATTCGATAACTGTTTAATTTCCTATTTGGGTTTATGCATATGCTTTAAGATTTTTTTTCCCAAGGCATTGTTAGATGCCAGTGTTTCCTGTCATAGCTGTGAAAAGATTTGATTTTAAAAACAGTATCATAGCTATCAAACTATTTCTTGTTATGATTTTAAACCTGTATTTAACCAGAACGATCAGAATTGAACCAGAATCAGATTGATCTCAAAGTAAAAAAGGTGCTTAAGTCTGATTTTGTAGTGGCTGTGCTTTAAAATTAAATGATTATAATCTTAATTCAAGTGATGCAGGCTTTTGAAAGTCTGCCAATAATCAATGTTGAGTTCTACTGTAAGGTTAACCCTGCCTGCTTTAAATGTTTCAAAATGATTAACAGTAGAAAATATTTGACATTTAGAAAAGTAATCAAATGTAATCAGTTACATTAATTTAATAAAGTAATTGAAATAGTTACACTACTTATTACATTTTAAATAGGGTAACCTGTAACCGATTACATTTACAAAGTAACCTTCCCAGCACTGCCTAACAGTAACCGTCAGAAAATTTTCTGGAAGTCAATGGTGAAAAAAGTGTCAAAGATACGGCCCCCCCTCTCCCAATTTTTCATGCCACAGCAAAAATCAAGTGTTGTATAACACCCCCATGAATGATGGCCATATATTGGTCACACTGTAGTTAAGCAGTTATAAAACATAAAAGTTTTATAAATCTTTTCAAAATAATGCATTTATGCGCGATTATGTGTAAATTAGTCCTGCCTGTCTGTGCAACAGACTGAGACCGTGTCTGTCTCTTTACTAATAGTGAAGCTGTGGATTTTGATTACTTCAAAACACAAAGAAATTTTCGCTATAACTTTTCTGATTCTAAGCATTTTTTTTGACAAATCACAGGGCAGCGTTGACAATATTTTTATGTGTGTGATCTGTTATGTGTCTGTACATGTGTGTGTGCAGTACAATCCTTGTAGGCAGAACTAGTTTAGAACGGCTATAGTTATGGCATTAATTGTGCTAGTGATTGAGCGGTAGTGGAGCACTCTGAGAGCGAGCGAAAACCATAATTCTCCGACTTTCAAAAGATCCCCGCTTCAGTTAAAATCATGCTGCTCCACTCTCAATGCACTTCGATCCCATACACTGCTTTGTGGTGGCAACTGGGGTGGCAAAGCTCATTTTAAGGGTGGCAGTTGCCACCCCGTGCCATCCTTGTGGACACGCCACTGCATCTTGGATGCCTGAGGGTGAGTAGATTTTCAGAAACTTCCATTTTTAAGTGAACTATCTCTTTATTTTATTTATTTATTTATTCACTTTTTAACGCCATGCCAGCATCAAGGCTATTTTAGTCTATTCCTTTAAATGGTCCATGCAGAAATGTTCTGCGCAAGTATCTGTATCTTTACCTGAGTTGGCGAGAGCAATGGCTTTCAGAGTGACAAACTCTTCTCTCTCCAGCCTCATGGACCTGTACCTGCGCACCAGCTGTAATATGGCCTTGTGGAGCTCCAGCAGACCTGCTGATTTAGCCTGTTCAGCATCCATGATGTAATCCTCCGCAAACACCAGTTTGTCCTCGCAGGGCAGCGAGCGGAAAGCCACACGCAGGATGAGGATCTCCATCCACGCGCTCTGCAGGAGACTCATCTGATCAGACAGATAGAGGCTGGAGAAACCTGCAGGAGTGATGGAGTGACTGGTCAGATAACCGTCTCTTTAAAAAACAACTAAATAAACCTATGATCCATGTAATTGGCTAAAGAAATAATAAAAGTACCTAAATATTAAAAATAAACAACTTAGATAACTAATTAAACTACTACACAAACAAAGAAAACACCTATATAAGTAAATAATCAGCTAAATAGTTCAATAAATAACCAAATACCTAAATATGTAAATAAACAACTAAATAAGTACATAATCAGTTAAATAACTAAAAATAAATGATCAGCCGAATAGTTAAATAAATAGCCTATCACCTAAATATCTAATTTCTAAACAAATAATAAGATAAACAAACCAATATAAATAACTGTCTAAACAAACAACTAATTCCCTAAACAACTAAATAAACTAATCATGACCTAAATAAGTAAATAATCAGATGACTAAAACAATTTATCAGCTAAGTACTTATCAACTAAACAAGTAATACTAAACATCTAAATAAGTAAATCAGATAAATAGCTAAATAAATAACCAATCACATAAATATAATTAAACAACGAATGTCCTAAACAACCAATAGGATAAACAAACTAAATAAATAACCAATCACGTAAATATCTAAACAAACTATTTCCTAAACAACTAAATAAACAAATAATCATTTAAGTAAATAAACTAAATAACAAAACTACAAATAACGTAATTAAACTGATTAAACCAATAATCAGCTAAATGAGTAATACAAAACCAATGATCTCCTAAACAACAAATAAGATAAACAAACTAAATAAACAACGAATCACATAATTATCTAAATAAACAACAAATTCTGAAAACAACAAATCAACACCTAAATAATCAGCTAATTACGACCAATTACATAATTATCTAAATAAACAATAAACAACTAATTCAAATCAATAAACAACTAAAGCAAATCGTCATGCAAGTAAAGAGCTAATTAACACTAATCAGCTAAATGAGAATAGCAAACACCTATATAAGTAAATAATCCGCTAAATAGTTCAATAAATAACCAAATACCTAACTATGTAAATAAACAACTAAATCAGTTGAATAACTAAACAACTAATCCTTTAATGAACTAAACTACTAATCAGCTAAATAAGAAATACAAAACAACTAAAGTAAATTATCAGCTAACTAACAATCACCTAAATATCTAAACAAACGACTAATCTCCTAATCTGATAATAACCACATAATAACCTAAATCATTAGCTATATAACTAAAACAACTTGCCAGTGCAGTAACTAAATAGCCAAATAATTTAAATACTATCTAGCCAAGTAAATAAAATAATCGAATGAATCGCTTAAATAACTATATTTAAAAAAAACGGCCAAATATCTAAATAAATAGAACTAATCAGCTAAATAACTGCCTCTGAGACGTTGAAGCAGATGAATGAAAAGTGACAGATAAAACCCAGCTAATTTGACACTGGACTCTGACCTTTGTTAGAAAGGAAAGCTTCTTTGTGTGTGTGACAGAGGTTTGTCCCCAGCGTCAATGATGGACCAATCTCTCTCATTCATGTTCTCTCACACTTAATTAAAAAGCCAGTGATTAGTTTGGTGTGGCGAGGGAGGAGAGCAGCTTTGATTCGATTTTTTCAGCCATCACTGATGTTTATCAGAGGCCGTAATGACTCGAATCTCTCGCTGGCTCTCCTCCTGAGTGACGTTCATTAGCTGATTGGATCTCTGCGCTGATCGATCGCGGGCTGAATGAAGCAGCGCTGCCGTTCACACTGAGCTCCGGAGACACAGCCGTATTGACGTCTGTGAAACGTGTTAATGGAATCAAAGGGCCCTCGTGACACTCAAACAACGCAAATAAAACAACCCCAGAGCCATTTGAATCAGCAATGTCCTCTTCTATTGTACGTCCTGCTTCAGACGCTGGGGAAAAGACAATGCTGCTGCTGTCACACACTGTTGACATGAACACACACAACTGCTCCTTGTGTATGTAAAACACACACGTTGGTTTATGTTTTGTGGTGAATTTTTATAGACATAATTCTTTTTATACTGTACAAATAACCCTAAACACAAGCCTCACAGAAAACTTTCTGCATTTTTTCACTATTTAGTATGATGTACAAGGTCAAAATTGTCAGGTTTTACTATCATTGTAGGGACATTTGGTCCTCACAACGTAGGGTTTATCTGGACGACACACACTCACACATACACATAGATACACTACCGCTCAAAAGTTTGGGATCAGTAAGGCTTGTAATGTTTTTTAAAGAAGTCTCTTCTGCTCATCAAGGCTGCATTTATTTGATCAAAAATACAGATAAAACCGTAATCTTGCAAAATGTTTTTACAATATAAAATAATGGTTTCTATTTTAATATCCTTTAAAATATGATCCTCATTCGAATATGCTGATTTATTATTAGAATGATCAATGTTGGCAACAGTTGTGCTGCTTTTTATTTATTTTTTATTCAAGATTCTTTGATGAATAAAAAGTTCAAAACAGCATTTATTCAAAATATAAATCTTTTCTAACAATATAAATCTTTACTATCACTTCTTAACAATTTAACACATCCTTGCTGAATAAAAGTTTTAATTTCTTTCAAAAAAAGAAAGAATAAAAATGTACTGTCCCCAAACTTTTGAACTGTAGTGTATATTGTAAGAAAAGATTTATATTTTAAATAAATGCTCTTCTTTTTAACTTTTTATTCATCAAAGAATCCTGAAAAAAAAGTATCACAGGTTCCAAAAAAAATATTAAGCAGCACAACAGTTTCCAGCACTGATAATAAATCAGCATATTAGAGTGATTTCTGAAGATCATGTGACACTGAAGACTGGAGTAATGATGCTGAAAATTCAGCTGCGCATCACAGGAATAAATTAGATTTTAATGTATATTAAAATAGAAAAACTTTATTTTATATCATAATAATATTTCACACACACACACACACAAGCATTTGTTATATTTTGGGTACAAAACTGTTTGCAGAAGTGAACTAAACCAAAAAAAAAAGTTTTCATTTTTAAAAATAAAGTGTTGCTTTGTTGTTTAGTTAAAAATAAAGATGAATCTAAAATAAAAATACAAGTTGTAAAAATATATACATTTATTATATCATATATATATATATATATATATAAATAAATATTATGTCTGTATGTGCGCTACTCTCCAATTGGAAACTACTTTTTTAATAGTAAATTTAACTATTGTTTTAAAGTATAGACCTGACAATACGTTCCTAGTTTTATATACTGAATTTTTAACATTTTATGTAAAAAGGTTGAATGGTCATTGCACAAATTTTCTAAAATGAATTTTTTTTATTATTATAATGTGTGGACTTTTTTGTTGTACAATTTATTTCCCAAGGGAATGTATCTTATTTTAAGGATGTTTAGATATTTTTGTTACGTGAAACCTAAAAAAATTCATTTTTTTTTTTTTTTGGCATTTCATGCCATAATTTGTGTAGTCAATATGATTAACCTTTTATAAAAACGAAGTCTGTTGTATGTCCTCGTGCAGATAAATGTGAAATATTCACTTAACATTCTCTCAAATGCGACAAATTGTGTTTATTTACCAAATACTGTAATCTGGTGCACAAAACTATGGCATATAATCAGTCACATGTTATGGAGAATCACACACACACCTGGTTTTGTGGTTTGTTTTGTAAGCATTACTACAGAGGTCAGTATCAACACAAAAACAGGTGCTGGCCAGTTCTGTGTGTATGTGTGTGTGTGTGTGTGTGTGTGTGTGTAGATACTGAGATACAGTTATAAAAATGAGCTGAATCTGTCGAAACCTATGAGAAAGAGGACTGAGGACGTCCTCAAAATATTATTGATAAATAAAGCAAACATTAGAATTAGTATGTAGTAAATACATAAGATTTAATGACAACAAAAGTCTATGAAAAAACCTCATTGAGACACTTGTGTGTGTTTAGAGCTGCTAAAAGAACTGATGTCTTCTGTACAGGAAGACATTTCATAATCAAATTCCTCTAAAAACATCTAATGCATCTGACATTCCAGTGTCACAGAATCTGTGTGTGTTGTTAGGTTACACAGAAACGCATCCAAACTAACAGCACTTTATCTCTGTGTATCCAAAACAAATAGCAGATAATACATGTGTGTGTGTGTGTGTGTAATTAAAGTCTCTTTGGTCTGTTAGTACCTGGTATGTGTTTGGCCCAGCTGATGTTGAGCACCAGCTCTCTGTCGGCGAGGTCACACAGGGTCGTTAGGGCTTTGATGTCACTGTCGGGGAGGGCGGGGTCAGGCATGGCACACACCTTCTCTGGCTCCGCCCCCAACAGCAGGGCCACCACCTTATTCTCCCCCTGAGCGCTGCAGGGTGCTAACGAAAAGAAACACAGAATATTAGCACGAACTAACAGCACTTTATCTCTGTGTATCCAAAACAAATAGCAGATAATACATGTGTGTGTGTGTGTGTAATTAAAGTCTCTTTGGTCTGTTAGTACCTGGTATGTGTTTGGCCCAGCTGATGTTGAGCACCAGCTCTCTGTCGGCGAGGTCACACAGGGTCGTTAGGGCTTTGATGTCACTGTCGGGGAGGGCGGGGTCAGGCATGGCACACACCTTCTCTGGCTCCGCCCCCAACAGCAGGGTCACCACCTTATTCTCCCCCTGAGTGCTGCAGGACGCTAACAGAAAGAAACACCGAATATTAACACATATAGGGCAACCATACATCCTTTTTCCTAGACGGATTTCTAAATAGCCTAAAATGTCCAGGTTTTGGCTTTGTTTTCCGGCTGACATGCTCTCTATAGTCCTCATACATTATATACACAAATTTGCATTACTTTGCTTGTTCTCTGTAGATCCTGCCTTCTCACACGCCGCGATTGGTCGATTATGTACAATGCCTGCATGCTATTGGTCAAACAAATTTTCATTCATTACCTTCAGCAAGTATGAATAGAGTGCATTAATGCCTGCCCACTTTTTCAATTTTTTTTTATCACCGCTGGTTCTAGAAGTATTTTTTCCATTCATTTTTCCCATTGGGATTTAAAAAAAGTGCTATAAGCAATTAACCAAGCCAACCAGCTAAGAGGAGAAATCACAATATTACAAACTTTTATTTGAAGCAAAAAATGTCAGACAAAAAGACAAAGGTACATGACTGTCTACTTATCGCCATTAATGAGGGAAAGAACTACAATCCCATGAGCCATTGCAAATGACATTAAAAATGATGGCGAAATATAAGTATACACACACATATTTATATTTTGAGAGCATGAGGAAACGGACTCGATTACATTATTAGTGGTGCTTAATTGAAGTGGGCGGAGCTCAGCACTTGTTTGATGCGGTTTGCTCTCTGCGACTCTATGATTGGTGGAATTTTCTTTACAGCATCATGGGTAAGGTAGTTTCTTTAAACACGATTATTTAAAACATGTTGAAATAATGCAAACTGATGGGTTCAACAAAAGCATACACCATCAATTAATAACCTCGGAGCACATAGTAGGTCTATATTTAAAGGTTAATAAGTAGTGCTCGCAAACGATTAATCGCGATTAATCGCATCCAAAATAAAAGTTTTTGTTACATAATATATGTGTGTGTACGGTATACATTAAATACACACACATACAATATATATTTCGAAAATATTTACATGTATATATTTATATAATTTATATTATCTATTAAAAAATATAAAAAATATAAACAACTTATTTTTCTTAAATATATACATGCATATGTGTGCATTTATATATACAAAATAAATATACACAGTACACCCATTATGTTATTATGTAAACAAAAACTTTTATTTTGGATGCGATTTAACACCATTAGTCATTTGACAGCACTATTAATAAGTTATTGTTAAAAATCAATTTCCTAATGGCGAAAATTAAGGACATTTTTATTTTCCAGAACCTGACTGTTGCACTCTTCTGGAAAACAGGGACATTTTAGTCAATTTAGAAATCCTAGCCACATATACTAAGACGCAGACGTTTCTGGCTCTGTGATTCTTACGTTGCTTTCTGTGAGGTTGCTGTACACTGAAGAAGACACTGGAATCAGAGTCGATTCTCCTCTTATATTTCTGCCGTCCTCCTCGCACCCGGTCCAAACGCACACCTGAGTCACACACACACACAGATTCTGGGATGAGGAAAAACAACTTGCTCCTTATGTAAAAAAAAAAAAAAGAGCTTGACTGAAATAAACAGCTGCATGAACTGGCTTTTATACATTTTTGGCAGCACTTTTAAAAAAAGCAGGTGCACTGAAATAAAATCAGGCCAGCAATAATGCGACTCCACACCTGCACTAATATAACACTCTTTGCTGACTGCGTATAATTATTATTTTTACGGTTGTGTTGCACGAGTACAGCTGCATATTTAAGAAGCCCATGATATGCGTGTGCTTAATCTCAGACACTTTCATAGCAAAACAAATCAAGAGAACCTGCATAGAGTGTCATTCATGTTATTTATTGCACTGCATGTAGCGAATCTCACCAAACCTGTCAAGAACACGGCAAAAATAAAATGCAAAAAAAATGTATAGTGAGGATTTTATGACAATTAGGCACATTTACACTCACAATTCTCAGAAAAAAAATTTATTCATCTAAAATTATACAATTTAAACATGAAAAACGTTCTAAATATAAAGTAAATCAGGCTTCATTTTCTTTGGATTCTGCAGAGAAATGTGACATTTTTGTGAGATTCATAAACACACACACACGCACACACACGCACACACACGCTCTCACCATTACGCAGCATTCCCACAGACAGACACTTAGTGAAGCGGCAGGCCTGACAGGACTTCCTCCTCCTTTTAGTGATCTCACAGTCTCTGCTGACCGAACAACTGTACTCGATATTTCCTGACAGAAACAAACAGACCATCATTACCATCAAAATATTCATCTAGCAAAAACTGTGTACCAAAGACACACAGACACACTTTCCCCCTGTGCAACTAACTAGACAAACTGCATTTATTTTATAACAAAACACCATAAAATCAGCAATATTTAGAGTTATTATTACAATATATTTCAAAATGTAATTTATTCCTGTGATGCGCAGCTGAATTTTCAGCATCATTACTCCAGTCTTCAGTGTCACATGATCTTCAGAAATCATTCTAATATGCTGATTTGCTGATCAAGAAACATTTCTGATTATTATCAATGCTGAAAATAGTTGTGCTGCTTCATATTTTTGTGGAAACCATGATGCATTTATTTGAAACAGAAACATTTATTTGATCAATTTAATGACCCTAAACTTTTAAACACATGAATCACCTACTATATTTGTCAAAATGTGTACAAAGCACATCACACTGGATACTGTGCAATGTATTCACATTTTCAAGATGAAAATGAACCAAAAGAAAGTTTCACTTACTATGCAATAAATATATTTAATACAGACCAGGTAGGGCTGGACGATATGGCCAAAATTTATATCACAATATATTTCTTAATTTCGGTCGATACAATGTAATTCCGATATAGATGAACAACTGTATATATTTTAAAAAAAAACAAGAACTCCCATAGCAGATGTCTGTACCTACAAACGTTTTTAAAATTAATTTGCCAAGTCTCTGTAACCTCCTCCTATAAAAACTACACTATACCAGTCAAGTTTCTGAACAGTAAGATTGTTAAAGTTTTTTAAAAGAAGTCTCTTCTGCTCACCAAGCCTGCATTTATTTGATCCAAAATACAGCAAAAACAGTCAAATATTTTTACTATTTAAAATAACTGTTGTCTTTTCGAATATATTTTAAAATGTAATTTAATCCTGTGATTTCAAAGCTACATTTTTAACATCTTTACTCCAGTCAAATGATCCTTTAGAAATAATTCTAATATTCTGGTTTGCTGCTCAAAAACATTCATTATTATTATGTTGAAAACAGCGGAGTAGATTTTTTTTCAGGTTTCTTTGATGAATAGAAAGTTCAGAAAACAGCGGAGTAGATTTGTTTTCATGTTTCTTTGATGAATAGAAAAGTCAGAAGAAAAGCATTTAACTGAAATAGAAATCCTTTGTAACATTTATAAATGTCTTCATCATCACTTTTGATCAATTTAAAGCATACTTGCTAAATTAAAGTATTAATTAAAGTATTAATTTCTATAATTTATTTCCCATAATATATATATATATATATATATATATATATATAGTATATATATATATATACAAAAGCTTTTTATTTCAG